AGGTCATGAACGAATAGATATGGCCTTAAGCTCTTGCGCTCATCTGTCCGTAAGAAATTTGTTTTTGGGTCCTTACTTGACTAATTGCCTCCACGATCTTCTAAATAGCATAGGAAAGATGCGGCGGTCTCATCATACATCAAGCTCACCAAATACCAAGTTTTCCTATGATGGTATTGATCCAGCAAAAGGACGCGGGATTGGATAGTATGTGGCAGCGTATTTAATATTGTAGTGTGTGAAAGTGACAACATCACCAAATTGGCTCCATACATCGTTAGTCTGGGCATCGGCCACAAATTTATATAGTTCGTATTGCGTCGCCTCCGATTTTAATGTGGAGAGAGTAAAAAAAGATGGAGTTCTCAAAATAGATTTGTACGATACAGACCTGATATGCTAAACTGTTTTTGCTCTTCATTTCAAATAATTTTTTTTGGTCAAGTGTTTTGTAACCCAAGGACGGACTCATATATATATAGCATTTAGAGAGTAGATGCAGGATTAAGAGCGGATTCCAGATTTTTTCGGAAATTATTTGGATTGCGCTGTGATGCAGTATTTCCTTTGGATGGTAAACTATGGTGCGTGGCATGTTGTCTGGTACGAAGATATGAATATTTGTCAAGGAAAATACTAACAGAATTTGCTGAATATTCGTGATTCCACTTATGAAATCGGCTTGACAAAGTCCTATGTTCACTGCCTAGAGTTGAGTCTCGCTTGTCGACAATCGAAATCCTTCCTTATATAATACTAAATGCTTGAAGTGATTTGCTCGTCTTTGGCTCGTTGTTTTACATGATTAATCTCGTGTGTAATGATCGTAAAGCCAACTTCCTCATAAAGTATTATTAGTATAGCTTTCTTGTTTGTATCAATGTAGTGCGACTCGTAGCTTTTCAATCAACTTCGATCCCGTATATACTCTCATATTGTTAGGTTAACATATTCGAAAGTGAGTTGAAAATAAGTGCTCAATTATTGAGCATAAAACTGGTTAAAACCAAATATTAAATATAGACGAATATAACAAACGTTAACGACTGAATATAGTATAAGCAACGAAGGAAAAAATTCTATATTATAATTATTTTTACACTTGTATGATCAATAATTCTAGACCATTATAGCAAATAGGGAATTAAAGCGCTGAATAATCACTATAAAGCTCAGTGACCTTATTTCATATTTCTAACTAGTCATTTTTTATATTTTGAAATCCATGTTTGTACTAAGGTTGAGCAAAGAGATGTGGCAACAGATAAAAAGACATCATGTGGTTAGGTGTGAATTTTGTATTTATGCTTTAAATGAA